GCTCAAGTCACTCCTGTGGGTTGTTCTCGAGAAAAGACCAACTGTAGTCTGGAATACTATAATTTTACAAATCCAGACGGAGGCAACTAATTTCTATACCACCACAGCTTCAACTTATGTTTTATTGGGCCTGCTAAGGGCTGGTACAGTGTCCATCAGGAAGATCAAACAGCCGCCCTCAAGAAAAGGCAGGTTCTAAAATCTGCGAAGACAGTTGTTTAAGCAGGAGGCATCGAGGAAGCTAGGATACCTGGGTTATTAGCGAGGGTATAGCCCGTGGGTGCTGCTTTTGAATAAGACAGGCGTTTACACCCTTTGTGTCATCGTGCATATAGGGACTGAGCATCAGACACTTGTCGAACATTAGCTGTCATCTAAAAAAACTATAAAATAGGCCTTTCGCGTACTGAAGTACTCTAGCATTAGGAATTACTCAGGCATATGCTAGATGTTCATAGAAGACTCTTCCAGGAACTGGACATATCCTTCGTCTGGTGGGTTAGGCAAATGATTTATTTTTTACAACACATTGATGACTGGGCAAAAGCAGTTATTCTTCAGGGCAATATGGCGGAAAATATTAACTTTAGTTGCTTCATCAGAATTAATGCCGTGGGATATTGTTGCAGGTCTCCGTTTGCTGATAAGTCCACGCTTTTCGCTGTGTACTTCATGTGTGCAGTGGCACACACCCATGCACGTCGGCCGCATTCCCCCCCTCCGCACCTCCCACCCATATGAAGTTTCCTAGCAAAATAATGTTCCGCAAACCGCATTAGACAAATTATTTGAACTGAATTTACCAGCCTAATAACCGGAACCATTGCATTTACCCTTAAGTACTTTATATCGAAGTTGTGAAATTGAATCCACGACTGGAAACAGCTTCTTTTAGGCCATGCAAGTGGCTTTAGGAGTGATGTAAGACTGTAGATCTTGTTCTTCTGGGGAGATATTGTTCGGGTTATGAGGAGAAACACGCTTCTGATGACACATCAGAAAGATAGGACCGGCTATTGAAGACGGGTCACGATACTCCTCAGCAACTCAACCTGAAACAGGTACTCTTGATTATTCACAGGATTCCGACCTTATAATTGAACCCCGAGTTATTATCAAAGGATGGCATATAGCGTGGACCAGCCTTTCTCCCAAACCAATGTTACCGCTGCGAGGTGTACGGCGATAAACATACACAAACAGATCTTCCCAGGTCCCACAGGTCTTGCCCTCGACTAACCAGTAAGGGTCTGCTTAACTGGCAATTTCGTAAACACTACAAGGGGATTTATATGCTGGAAAGGGGAATAGGAACCCTTGATAATACAGGTGGCCTTACATTAAATTCCATGGAGATGAGGATTAGAGATAAGACTAGACCTATGGTAGAGGGTATGGATAGGGTTAGGAGTATGGTTAGTGGTAAAGCTGGGAGATGGGAATAGGCGCCCTTCCTGGGATTTAACGCAAGTTCACCTGCATCGTGGAGGGGTTCCTCTTCCCGTGTCTTACCGGTATACAAATCGAGCGGATGAGTGGGCAGTACTATTGGACGTCACTTCCTTCTCAACTTTTAGATCTCACATGTTGGCTATCTTTGCATAAAAAACGTATTTGATATCCCACCAAACACTCAAAGCACTGAGTCAAAACCTACGCCTTCGTCAGGACCTGATGCGAACGCGTAAAATACTTCTCAATCTTTTGGCCTATTCTTAAACTCGCTGACAGCTGAAGCCCTTCCAGTTGTCTCATGCAGTCCTCGCATGTAGACGAAACACCTGTTTGCCTTTCGAATGAGTAATTTTGTCGGGAGAATGCTTCAGTCGTGTCTACTTGCTTTAACTTACGCGTTACTACACTGCACTGTTTCAGGTGGTGACCTAACACGACTATTCCGCTGAACTTGGGGATTTTCATTTAGAGTGTTTCGAAAAAAAACAAAGCGGTAGGAGACAAGCTGGGCTATGACGCCCGAACTCTAAGCTAGATAGGTGACGTCAGACGAACTAAAAAGGCTCACTTTGGGTTTACTTGGCTAGTTCATTCAGATAACTGAATTATGTTTTGGCATACAGCAGAGAATAGTTATCTTTTTATGCAGGCTAACGAGATACGAGACGCACAGCAAGCTCGGGTAGACACTGGGTAAGTTTCACATACCATCGGAAAGTTACACCCATCAATTAACATTACAAAACGCTTCGAAACTGAACGCACAACCCTTACCGCCAGGTCTATGGGCATGTTGATAATTCGCATAACATTTAGGTGCACGCTTCATGATTCGGATCAGAGTACCTGAACGAAACCTGCAGAACGGCAGTTCTATCTCATCTGAATATGAAAGCAATGGAGTTGTTGTGTGTGAGGGAGAGAGGCAGATGGATTTTTGAAGTCTTCATAGCCTGATTTAATTCTGTAATACTTCAAATACTTGGAGTATTAGAGGCCAAGCCGATTCCTGTCGTAGTACAAAGTGCAGCCTGCTCTATTCTTGTCCTTTTGGTGATGGAATTAGGGTTAAATCGAATTGAATCGGGCATACTGTTTTTTACAGCATAGCA